TACCACTTGTAGGATCAAAAGTATGTCTAGAGGGGTGATTAGACTACTTGACCAAATAAAAATCTAGCATTTTCTCAATTTTAAGTCTTGGCAGATTTTAGCAATTTATCACAAGTCAAGCAAACAACCTACACATGCAAATCTAAGAGTACAGCAGCGGAATGTAAATCATTGCATATGAAGGTAAAGGGGAGGAGTTTGGAGGGAGCAAACACAATGTAGACACGGAGATTTTTGGTGTGGTTCCGATAGGTGGTGCTATCATACATCCATGTTGATGGAGACTTCAACCCACGAAGGGTAATGGTTGTGCGAGTCCACGGAGGGCTCCACCCATGAAGGGTCTGCGAAGAAGCAACCTTGTCTATCCCACCATGGCCATCGCCCATGAAGGACTTGCCTCACTTGGGTAGATCTTCACGAAGTAGGCGATCTCCTTGCCCTTACAAACTCCTTAGTTCAACTCCACAATCTTGATGGAGGCTCCCAAGTGACACCTAACCAATATAGGAGACACCACTCTCCAAAAGGTAATAGATGGTGTGTTGATGATGAACTCCTTGCTCTTGTGCTTCAAATGATAGTCTCCCCAGCATTCAACTCTCTATCACAGATTTGGATTTGGTGAAAAGATGATTTGAGTGGGAAGCAACTTGGGGAAGGCTAGAGATCAAGATTCTTGTACTTGGATTGGAATATCTTGGTCTCAACACATGAGTAGGTGGTTCTCTCTCGGGAAATGAATGTTGGAAGTGTAGGCACGTTCTGATGGCTCTCTCCATGAATAGAGGAAGGGTGGAGGGGGTATATATAGCCTCCACACAAAATCTAACCGTTACACACAATTTACCAAACTCGGTGGGACCGAACAGTTAAACTCGGTCAGACCGATTTAGTTCAAAATGTGAACGTTAGGATTTTCGATGGGACCGACATGTCAACTTGGTGTGACCGATTTCATTAGGGTTAGGGCATAACGTAATCTTGGTGAGACCGATCACATGAACTCGGTGAGACCAATTTCTGTAATAGACAAACAGAGAGTTGGTCAGGCAAACTTGGTGGGACTGATCGCTCATTTCGGTGAGAGCGAAACGTTACGAAAAGGAAATAGAAAGTTTGCATTGCGAACTCGGTGGGACCGATTGCTCATCTCGATTAGACTGAAACATTACGAAGGGAAACAGGGATTTTGCAATCCCATCTCGGTGAGACCGAGATCTCTATCGGTGAGACCGAACTGATTAGGGTTTCTGGCAGTGGCTATGTCAAATGAACTCGGTGGCGCCAGATAAATCAAATCGGTGGGGCCGAGTTTGACTTTTGGTTTGAGACATATGTGGATATGAGAAAGTGATTGAGGGCTTTTGGAGCATATCACTAAGCATTTTGAGTAAGCAAGCTATTAAGCAACACCTCATTCCATTTTAATAGTATTGGCTTTTCCTATGAACTCAATGTGATCTTGGATCACTAAAATGAAAGTGTAGAGTCTTGAGCTTGAGCCACTATGTATCCTTAGCATTTTGATGGGTCCACATCTCTAGTCCATGCAATGCCTATTATTGTACTTTCTGAAATGAACATCTTGAAAGAGTATTAGTTCAATGAGTTATATGTTGTTAAGAATTACCAAAACCATCCAAGAATTAGTTGCACTTTCAATTGCCCACTCTGACAGAGTGCCAAATAAGATTAAAAAACAAAGATAGCCTCACAAATGCTACATGGCGATGCCGAAAAAAATCCTCAATAATTAGCGTGAAGTCTTAGGGTATATAAAGTCCATCGGGCACCAGAGCCCAATAGGTGCCTTGGGGCCCAGGGCGCCTCCCGACGCTTAGGCACTAGGCACGACCCCCTGTGCTAGGCCTTGGCTCCTCGGTCTTCTCCCCACATGAAGCTTCCCAAAGTAGTTTTCTTTTTTTTTTCCTCGGACTTTTTCTAAGGATTTTCTTGAAACTACAAAAACAGCCCAAAAGAGGAACTGACACTGGACTGATTGATATGTTAGTTCAATAAAAAAACATGTGCACAAAGTGTTTGTAAGTGATTGCAACATAAGACGTACAAAATATTATAGATATGTTGTTTGAGACATATCATGTGTAGACATGAAAACTGCAGTACAAAAAACAACTGTCATGAGGGATATAATGTCATGACATAAAGCATAATTTTTCTTCACACAAATTAGAAAAGTAATAAACTAATTAGAGTTGCCACGGTCCACTATTTATATTTTCCATGCGACTAGTACAAACATTTGTGAAAGTTCTCATGACTGCAGAGAACACATCTCATAGAAGTTGCCATGTGACCATTACAAAATGTCTACAAATTGCCATGATTAAAAAAAACACAATGTAGTAAATTTGTCATTTGACCCGTGCATAACTTTCCTACATTTTCCATGAACTACAGAGCAAATTTTAATAAAGTTGCCATGTTGCCAGTAGTAAAAGTTTATATATCTATCGTGAATTATAGCAAAACGATTTAAAAGTCATCATTTAGTGAACACTTTTTTTCTAAAATTGTCATGTAGCCCATACAAATATTTTCTAAAGTTGCCATTTTAGAAAACATTTTTTTCTAAATTTTTTGTTTTTGTACTTGATTCTTTTTAAAATTTGCCATGTTACTATGTTTTCAGGATGTTTCTTATATACATTTACATGCATAGTTGCATAATGTGTAGAACAATTTTTTTCTAAAGTTGTCATGTTTCCATCCTTTTTCAGAAATTTATGCACACAAAAAATAGTTGCCATGATTAATAAAATTTTATTTCCAAACATATTTTTAAGGAACTATAAATATTAAATTTCCGTGCCTCCATTACATATTTCCAAAAAAGTTACCATATTTTTTAGAACAGAAATCCTAAACTTGCCATATGAACACTACAATTTTTAAGTTGCCATGATTGGAAAAAATAATTTTCTAAATTTGCGATGTGACAAGTAGAAACAATTTTAAAAAATGATTAAAAATACAATTCCTAAATTTTCCATGTGACCATTATGTGTTTGTAAATTTGTTGTGATTAAGATAATATATTTTTCTAAATTTTCCATGTGACCATTACAATCATTTTTTTAAAAAATGCCATGTTTTCGAGAACATTTTTTCTTAAAATTGCCACAATCCAATACAAACATTTTTTTACTGCCATGTTTTAGATAACATTTTGCAAAATGATTTAGGGATAAATGATACTCCCCCATTCCATATAGTTGTCGCTCTAAATTAGTGATAACTAATATGGAATTGAGGGATCAACGACAACTAATATGAAATGGACAGAATAACAAACTTGTAGGAATTGAGGGATACACTTGGCAAACTTTACCAATTTTGTCCTATAAACACACGACAAACTTTACGATACATTATGGGAAGATTAAGGAAAAATGATGGTGAACATTTCGAGTGATGCCCTCCATGACCCTGAACAACCCCCAAAAGAGGAAGTAGCTGGGGTGATGATGGAGGTGGTGCTGGCACGATCGCCGGAGAGAAAACGGCGGCGATGACGAGCAACAACAACTGAGGCGGGCGAGAGCCGAGCTCGCGGCGAAGGCATCATCGCCGGGATCTGAGAAGGAAGCATCGCGAAGAGTTGATGCGTTCAGCAGGGGAGGGGAAATGACCTCATTGACAAGGGGGGAGACTAGAGAGGGGACGATGACGTCAACACAACAAAAAATGTGTCTTACAAATACCACAAAAAAGCGAACGGTTGCCTCCACAACACCATGATGTTGTGCTTCCAAATTCGTGTAGAACCAACCGATGGTGTCGTCATGTCACACCGGTGCATGTCTAAGCAAACATAACTCCATAAGAGCATATACAACTACACATAGCTAATTTGAGTTGCCAAACATCCGTGAACGTTGTTGGATGTATCCGCGGACGGTGACCGGTCATACCCCATATTTAGCCTCCCACAACCATAGTACTCATTTCAGGATTTGTATTTCCATAAAAAAGCATGCAACAAGAATGATCTCGCATGAACTATTCCGAACTACACTAATCGTCCTCCTCGTCGGAGATATTGATGAAGTTTGCGCCGGAGCTGCCGGCCACGTGGTCATTGACAGCCCGATGACATGTTGGCGCCCACTCCTCGTCCTCCTCGTCGATGAAGATCTCGTTGAGCTTCGTGTCAGCCTGGCGGAGGATGCTGCAGTTGGCCTCCACCTCCGCCTTTGATTGAATGGAGTCGATAATGGCCTCCTGCTCTGTCACCTTCTCCACTTGGGCCACCTCGAACTCCTCCAGTGTGTAGGCCAAGGCGAAGCCCGCAGCGAGAGGCGTCGTATTAGCCTCGCCTTCGACCTCTTCCTCCTTCGGCTTCGCGTCCTTCGCGTCCTGCTCCTATGACCAGGACTGATGTGATCTGCACTGCGGACGAATTGGAATGTGGCGGCGGCAAAGGGGAGGGAGTAGGAAGAGATGAGGATGTGCTAGGGTCGAAATGCTGTCGTCCGGCTTAAATAGCCGGACTTGGTCTCTCAGGCGGCACGCCAGAGAGGTGCTACGCGGCACCATGAATGCCCTCACCAAAAAACGAAGGAGGCGGCTCGTCGTACTGACGGGTCTCCGCGTGTTTTCATATGGGTCCCTGCAACGTTACATACGCGTCTGAATGTCTACATATCCATCCTCACGCATAGACTGGATAGGAGGATTGCCTATCAGCCCGGATCGGGTCGAGTTGCAGATGCTCTGACATTTTCGTAAAGGAAACCGGGTCCTTTCGTTGGTGCGTGCAGGGCGCGTGACGTGTCTGCTTCGTTGGTGAAGGTGCCGCGCGCCTCCGTCTCCCTCGGGTATAAATGCCAGTCCTCCACAGTTTATTTATTGATTTCCAGCAACACACGAACAGGGGCTCCGTACCGCGAGAGACAGAGGAGAACACCGATCCCGCCGGCCGGCCGGCGACGTGAAACCGCGACTCCGGCGAGAGGAGAGGCCCGACCGCAACGATGGGCAACGAGATGTCGCCCCTCCAGAAGCACCGCGCGGAATACCGCCCCGAGCTCCCGCCCTGGCTCCAGGTATACCCCCGGCCTCCGATTCCCACTTTCCCACGACCGTTCGCCGCGGCATTGCCTCGCCGTGCGCCGATCCCTCGTTCCCGGATCATGCCCGATTCGCCGTCCCACAGGATCGATCTCGTCGACGGCATGGAGAGTGCGGTTTATCCGTTTCGAATATTTCCCTTCGCTTTCGGGTGGGGGTGGGGGGATTCTAGGTGCACCAGTGGTGATCCGATGCCGATGCCACCGCCCCTCCCCCACCGGATCTGAGATTACCACCCGTAAAGGTCGAAGGGAAAGCGATGGCACTCTAATCGCCGATCACTGATCCAATCATCCCGTTCGTAGAAAGCATCTTCCATGGCTGGGCTCATCAAGCCGATCGTTTTCTTGCTTTACAAGTTGATGGGTCTCTTTCTTTTCTGGGTGGAAACCAGGGCACCGCGGTGAAGGTGGAGTACGGCGACGCCGCGATCGCGGCTGACGGCGCTGACGCGCATGTGATCCGCCGCGCGTTCCCGCACACCTATGGCCAGCGGCTGGCGCATTTCCTTCCGAAGACGGCCAATGCGCCGGACGCTACGGTCATAACAGAGCACCCTGCCGTCAGGTACGCATCTTGTAGATATGATCTGGAAAATCTTCTAGATATGTTCAGTTTGTGCTGGCATCTAATGCGGCATTTTCCTTAAATAGCATATCTGTAATTTACTATTACTCCGTCTCATAATGTAAAATGTTTTTTAATATTACACTAGTGTCAAAAACGTCTTACATTATGAAACGAAGGGAGTAGTAATTAGCTTGTGATTTTTCCATCTTTCTACAAAACTTTCGAGTATCTCAACCAATATACTGTACATGAGATGCATATATGCAACGGGTTGTGTATGTGAATTATAGATGTGCTACTTTGTAGTTTGTACCATACGTTGCAGTTTGCACTAAACATGAACACTAGGCGGTCCAGCATTGGAGGGGAACGTTTGGTTCCTGGGTACATATGTACCTCATATGGAATTTTTTTTAGCAATTTAACAAAAAGTCAAAAATTCTGAAAATATTTTTGAAATAAACTTGACCTTTCATTATACTAGTGAGAAAAGTTCCACACAAAAAAAAATTCCCCTTTGACTTCTTTTCAAAAAAGACAAATTTTCGATCAAAATAGTGTGAATAGTGACCTATAATAGCAAATAAATTTTGTCTTTTTCGTTGTGAAGTCAACGTTGGTTTTTTTTGTGAAAATTTATATACTAGTGCGCAAGTAAGTCAAGTTTAATCTAAAAATAATTTTAAACTGTTTTGACTTTTTGTCTAATTATTTTAACTATGGCTGTCACTGTTGTAGTACTTCAGAAGGGCTACGACATTCAGACCTGCGTAATCAAGCCAAACAGTAGTTAGCTAATCTAATGTTGCAAGTTGTAACTCTATAGGATGGGACTAAAACCATAAATTACTTTGGTACTACATATTTCTGAAATACGTTCTGAGATGTCCCCATATTTTTTTCTCCATGCATCCTTTAATGTAAAATTATCTCTCGGGTGCAGGGTTGGTGTCGTCTTCAGTGGTAGGCAGTCCCCAGGTGGTCACAATGTTATATGGGGACTATATAATGCTATAAATTCTCACAACCCAAGCAGCGAGCTTATCGGTTTTCTTGGTGAGTGGATTGGTTTATTCAGATTGTTCTTTCATGGATATGTAGCTTTAATATTCCAACTACTATTCAGTCTAACAATAATTCACCCATTAGCTAGAGCGTCCTAGCATTTTAGGAATGAAAAAAAAACATGGATACAAGTCCAAAACAGAATTTTAAAATGCAGGAATAGTTGTTCTGATTTATTTATTTTTCTTCAAAAAGGAGGATATCCCTCGGCCTCTGCATCACACGATGCATACAACCATTTTAATAACCAAAGTACGAGGTTCAAAAATAACGTCTCAAGCAATCCGCAAACCAAAGTAAGGTAAAAAAAATGACACAACCGGCAAAAATAGGGTAAGATGACTAAACACCTATCCTATTATTGGACCCCCATCTAAAACGGTTATAGGTATCCCGTGCTACTGTTTTCCTGCGGTTGCAACCAATATCTATAAGCTTTCTGTAATCCGCATGGCCGAGTAACGACCACATACGGATCCAAGCAGACACCCGGAATGACCTGCAAATTTTTTGTGATAGTTTGTCTGTAAAAAGTGACATCGTTCCGGCAGTTTCATATGGCCCAAAGTAATCCACACACTCCTACTCGAGCCACTGTCTTAGGCTCTACCCGGTTTAACTACGCACCAAATATACTGGATAAAGTGTTGGGAGGACTAAGGTTAAAGGACACATGGACCGCCACAATAACTTGGCTAGTGGACATTTGAGGAACAGATATTGTATTACTCATCCTGATCATAAAAACAACAACGTTTATTACCCTCCCAACTACACTTTGCCAAGTTGTCATTCGTCAGTATTACTCCCTTGTGAACAAACCACATGAATACCTTTATTTTTAGCGGCACCTTAACCTTCCAAATGTGAAGCGACCTTTGGGTAGGACTGGTGTTTATCAAATCAATATACATGGATTTGACCGAGAATACACCTGACACGGACAGACAACTTCCAGTGTAGGGTATCCGGCGCATCAGAAAGGTTAACCTCCATCAACCCGTGCACAAGATGCAACCATCTATCCCATCGTTCCCCAGCACCCGCCTGAATTGGATATTTAAAAAAACATAACCAAGTGTTGTACGGACGAAAGCTTATTTATGTTGTACAATTTTATATAAAGAAGAATACTGCAAGGCTAGTGGCTTGTCCCCGAGCCAGGTATCTTCCAAGAATCTAGTATTACATTCGTTCCCAACAATGAATTTACTCCTATTGAAGAAGGCTGCCTTTGTCTTCACAGTAGATCAACCCTTGTTAATTCTGATAGAACGAATGAAAACCATAAGGAAAGTCTCTCAATCATATGTGAATGAGTGGAAAAAGGATGTTGTACAATAAGTGTTTAAATTCCTATAAGATTGAACCATAGTAGATCAACCCTTGTTAATTTGGTAGCATCATTCCTATGATCCAAATGTCCTTCATAGGTCAATTTTCTTAAGGATTCGAAACACGCGATAACCCGACGAAAGTCTTATGATCTAGAGAGGGCTGAGATTCTGTGACTAATTTATACTTGTTTTCCTTTATTAAGTCCAACAAACTACTGGTTGCTTCGCCTCCTTTCAAGTTATGATTTTTTGTGAACATTTACGCTAGAGGTGACACCCATAAGATCTCGCGACCAAATCATGGTTCGGGCACATCGATAGCAAGCTTCCACGCATCCTTGTCCATGGCTAGTTCTTTGGTGGTACTCCAATCCTTCAGATCTCTCTTTACAGACTCGTCCCATGTCAAATTCGGTCTACCCCGACCTCTCTTGACATTATTCGCACTCTTTAGCCGTCCACTATGCAGAGCTTCTAGAGTCATGCGCTGAATATGCGCAAACCATCTCAGACGATGTTGGATAAGCTTCTCTTCAATCGGTCCTACCCCAACTCTATCTCGTATATCATCATTCCGGACTTGGTCCTTCCTCGTGTGGCCACACATCCATCTCAAGATGTGCATCTTCGCCGGACCTAACTATTGAGCATGCCGCCTTTTAGTCGGCCAACACTCAGCGCCATACAACATTGTGGGTGGAACCGACGTCCTATAGAACTTGTCTTGTGGCACTCTTGTCATAGAGAATGCCAGAAGCCTGGTGCCACTTTATTCATCCAGCTTTGATTCGATGGTTCACATCTTCATCAATACCCCCATCCTTCTGCAGCATTGACCCCAAATATCGAAAGGTGTCCTTCTGAGGCACCACCTACCCATCAAGGCTAACCTCCTCCTCGTGCCTAGTAGTACTGAAATCACACCTCATGTACTTGGTTTTAGTTCTACTAAGGCTAGAACCTTTCGATTCCAAGGTTTGTCTCCATAACTCTAACTTCATATTGACCCCCGTCCGACTATCATCGACTAGCACCACGTCATCCGTAAAGAGCATACACCATGGGATATCTCCTTGTATATCCCTTGTGACTTCATCCATCACCAAAGCAAAAAAGATAAGGGCTCAAAGTTGACCTTTAGTGCAGTCCTATTTTAATCGGGAAGTCATCAGTGTTGCCATCACTTGTTTGAACACTTGTCACAACATTATTGTACATGTCCTTGATGAGGGTAATGTACTTTGCTGGGACTTTGTGTTTCTCCAAGGCCCACCACATGACATTTCGCGGTATCTTATCATAAGCCTTATTTTACTCCCTATATCTCTCTATAAGTTGTTGTACCAAGAAAATGGCTTCCATGGTCGACCTCCCAGGCATGAAACCAAACTGACTTTTGGTCATGCTTGTCATTCTTCTTAGGCGGTGCTCAATGACTCTCTCCCATAGCTTCATTGTATGGCTCATCAGCTTAATTCCACGGTAATTAGTACAACTCTGAACACCCCCTTGTTCTTGAAGATTGCTACTAATATACTCTATCTCCATTCTTCTGGCATTTTGCTTGCCCAGAAACTGTTGAAAAGCTTGGTTAGCCATACTATCGCTATGTCCCCGAGGCCTCTCCACACCTCAATGGGGATACAATCAGGGCCCATCGCCTTGCCTCCTTTCATACTTCTTGAAGCCTCGTTGACCTCAGTCTCCTGGATTTGCCACACAAAACGCCTGCTGGTATCATCAAAGGAGTCATCCAGTTCAATGGTAGAACTCTCATTCTCCCCACAGAACAGCCTGTCGAAGTACTCCCGCCATCTATGCTTAATCTCGTCGTCCTTCACCAGGAGTTGGTTTGCTCCGTCCTTGATGCATTTGAGTTGGTCAACATCCCTCGTCTTCCTCTCTCGGATCTTGACCTTCTTATAGATGTCCCTTTTGCCTTCTTTCGTGTTGAACCGCTGGTAGAGGTCCTCATACGCTTGACCCCTTGCTTCACTGACAGCTCGCTTTGCAGCCTTATTCGCCATCTTGTACTTCCCTATGGTGTCTGCACTCCTATCCAGGTATAGGCGTCTGAAACAATCTTTCTTCTCCTTAATAGCCTTCTGGACATCATCATTCCACCAACAGGTATCTTTGCCTTCGCTTCTACTTCCCCTGGACACTCCAAACTCCTCTAAGGCCACCTTACGAATGCAAGTCGCCATCTTCATCCGCATATTGTCCGCATCCCCTCCTTCCTCCCAAGGGCCCTCCTTAATGACCCTCTCCTTGAACGCCTAAGCTACCTCCCCCTTGAGCTTCCACCACTTTGGTCTAGCAACTTTGGCACGCTTATCCGACAGGACACGAATCTGAAAGCGGAAGTTAGCAACCACAAGCTTATGCTGAGGGACAACACTTTCTCCAGGTATCACCTTACAATTTTGGCACGCACGCCTATCTCCTATTCTCAAGAGGATGAAATCAACCTGGCTAGAGTGTGGACCACTACTAAAAGTCACAAGATGTGATTCTCTCTTTTTAAAGAGGGTGTTAGTTAAGATCATGTCGTAGGCTGGAGCAAAGCTTAAGACATCTTCTCCTTCTTGATTCTTGATGCCATAGCCAAAGACCCCATGCACCCCTTCAAAACCTGTGTTAGATGTACCCACATGGCCATTGAGGTTTCCTCCTATGAAGAGCTTCTTGCCAATTGGTACACTCCTAACCATGTCCTCCAGGCCTTCACAGAACTCACTCTTGGTGTTCTCATTGTGGCCTACTTGCGGGGCATACACGCTGATAACATTGAGAACCAAGTCCCCAACTACCAGCTTGACCAGGATAATCCGGTCATTTGTCTTTACAAAACATAAATGGATGTACTCTTGACCAAAATTTGCAGATTCACATTTTAAACCAATGTAAATGTTCACAAAATGATCTTCACTAATTGATGTTACTGTAGATCATAAAACATCTATTTTGTGTAGCATACAGGTAGATACACATTTCAGCGGAATTTACAAGTTCACACTTCATGCAACAATCCAGATCTCTTTTTTGTACATGTGATTTTTTTTATTCTCTGACTTCAAATGGGTGCGCGAGGTGCATGTGTGCAAAATGCAGTCAGCAAACAAAAAATCAATTAGGGACCTCTCTGATTCCACTATTTTTCTAGGATTCTACATGGTCCTGCTTGATTTTTATGATTGTTTATCACAAGTATTTTCCCAGATACTCCTTAATGCAACCCATTTCACAAAAATGTTGATCATTTGCTGTGGTTTGCAATAGTGCAACCAAACTTCCTTTGGTACAATTATTGGGGTTCTCAATGTTATAGGAATAGTCTATCTAGTGTCTTTGGAATCCTTTGAATCAAGCAGGACCTATTTAACTGCACTTTACATATCCAAGCTCACAAAATCATGAAAAAATCTAAGAAAAACGTATGTTCGGATCTTACTAAGTGTCTCATCAGTGTCAGACAGCCAGTTGGCTAAACAGTGCTAGGTGCCACTATTAAATCTTTGGAATGCAAATATGTGAAGCCCTCAGTGCTTTTTGTCCCTACATATACGTGTGAATGCATAATTTTGACTTAGACATAATTAGATATCGTATAATGAATCCTGTATCTGTTCCCTTTTACTGATTATTTCTAATTTTTTGTGTTGAAACAGGCGGAACTGATGGCTTGTTTGCTCAGAAAACTTTGGAAATCACTGAGGAAGTTTTTTCCTCCTATAAAAATCAAGGTGGTTATTATATGCTTGGCCGAACCAGGGACCAAATCAGAACAACTGAACAAGTAAAGGCAGCAATGACTACTTGCCAAGCTTTGAAGTTGGATGCTCTTGTAATAATTGGAGGTATCATTTATTACTATCTATTAAGATACTTTATTGATATTAGCTGTTATTTACTCTGTTATGCAGAGGCCGGGTGTAATGCTTAAATCTTTTAAGTAATAAAGCGCCCCTTATTGGAAAAACCCTGTTATTTACTCTGCATGCCCTCTTTTCTTTTTGTAGGTGTCACATCCAACACGGATGCTGCTCAGCTTGCTGAGACTTTTGCTGAGTCGAAATGTTCAACAAAGGTGGCTGAAAATTGTCTAATAAAGCTAGTTCCTTCATTATAATCGTTTGTACTGGTTCACATCCCTGTGGTAGTAAGTATTTTCCTTACAAAGTGCAAATCGCCTGAGACAATCTGTTTTTTAACAGGTAGTTGGTGTTCCTGTAACTTTGAATGGTGACCTTAAGAACCAGTTTGTCGAGACAACTGTTGGTTTTGATACCATATGCAAGGTACATTAATTTATATAGCAAGCTATTGAGTTGCTTCCTTATTTAGCATGTGGTATCATTTTAGAGATGCACTGTCCGCCAGTCCGCCTGTTACATTTTATTGACCTGTCTAGAGGTATGGTGAGTAGCTGCGAGGAGCATCTCATTCTCACTACTCAGTTTGATCATCCTTCTTTTTTACTATGGTTTCGGCATTGTTTGTTTTAGTGTTACCTTACTAATTTTGCTATTTAATTTACATTTTTTACGGTAACATGAATTGCTACTTATTTAACAGGTGAACTCACAGCTCATAAGTAATGTCTGCACTGATGCTCTTTCTGCTGAGAAGGTAACACATAATGGATGGTCAACCTCCACCTTAACACATTTCATGAGTTTAAATACTTTTTTTGGTGAAAGCTAGTAAAGTAGTCCTAAGTTCAGTCATTTTCTTTCTTCTACATACCGTGCTACCGGCCTATTACTCATAAATTTGCCTCCATTTTATAAAGGCGCTCTGTATTATCTACATAATTTCTGAATTTTATAACACACAAAATTCAAGTACGCAGTCTACATTTTTATCTCTCTTAAAGCTTCATCATTTTTCTCGGCAGTATTACTACTTCATTCGCTTGATGGGGCGGAAAGCATCTCATGTGGCCTTGGAATGTGCTCTTCAGTCACATCCAAATATGGTTAGGGATGCTACTTTTATTTTGAATCGACTTGTTTGATCCATAATACAAACATTACAAACTAATCTGACTTGATAATGCTCAGGTCTTACTAGGGGAGGAGGTTGCTGCGTCAAAACTTACAATTTCTGATATTACAAAGCAGATATGTGATGCTGTGCAGGCAAGGGCTGAAAAAGGTAGGAATCATATGGTTCTTACAAGCTTCGTATTGTAGTGTCATGTTGCCATTGTTTATAATAGGCGGTAAGGCGACCTAAGGTGAGCACCAACCGCCCTGACGCCTAAGCGTGTAAAGCGGGCATAATAGTAAGGCGCTGCCAGGGCGCCTTGCTGCCTAAGCGTCCAAGGGGTGACATCTTGTAAATAATGCATGTTGCCATAATATCTTGGGCACATAAATATATCATGCAGTTGCTATTATTCCTTATGATTCACAGTATCATACTATCTTGCACAGATAAATACCATGGTGTTGTACTTATTCCCGAGGGCCTTGTCGAGAGTATACCTGAATTATATGCTTTGCTTCAGGTCAGTATCAGTACATGAAACAATGGTGTTGTTTATTGAATAGTTCACTGAGCTTAGCTTATACTTGTAGGAAATTCATGGGCTACATGATAAAGGTGTTTCCATTGAGAACATCTCTTCTCATCTTTCGCCTTGGGCTTCTGCACTATTTGACTTTCTGCCTCCATTTATCAGGAAACAGGTATGTATTTCTTGTTTTCATATTCAGAAATCCATAATTTGGAGAAGATTTTATTGCTTCAACTTTTTTTTTTGTCGTGCAGCTACTTCTGCATCCAGAATCTGACGACTCTGCTCAGCTTTCTCAGGTGGCACAGCAATTCAGTCTGTGATATTAGCCTATCCTTTTTGTTTTACATTTGTTCGGGCATCAGATTTATATGTGTATCTTGCAGATTGAGACTGAGAAGCTTCTAGCCCAGTTAGTTGAGACAGAAATCAACAAACGTCTGGTGAGCATATCCTGCAGTCATTTGTGGAGAACTAGTTTAAGACCTATGAGTTATTAGTTCACTTTTAAAATAAGCACCACCTTTATCAGTGCATATTGTTTATTGGCTTATTTAGGAGGAAGGCACTTACAAAGGAAAGAAGTTCAATGCAATTTGCCACTTTTTTGGCTACCAAGCAAGAGGTGCCCTGCCGTCAAACTTTGATTGCGATTACGCCTATGTAAGTTCCACCTCACTTCTCTATATCATGTTCCATCTGGTTATTCTCCTTGATGGCCGGCCAATTGTTTGATTCCAGGTTCTTGGTCATGTATGCTATCACATCATAGCTGCTGGTCTGAATGGCTACATGGCCACTGTAACTAATCTAAAAAGTCCTGTGGACCAGTGGAAATGTGGAGCTGCTCCTATTACGGTGAGCATATGGGATTGTTAGTGTTTGTATGTTTTTTAGATTATGTTCCTTTAAGATTTGCACATGATCCATCCCACACAAGTTTATGTGAAGCACAAAGTGATGCATAACCATTTCTGCATTTGTTCACGAGCAGTCTATGATGACGGTAAGGGGATGGTCGCGCGGTCCCACTGCCAGTCAAATTGGGAAGCCCGCTGTCCACATGGCAAGCGTCGACTTAAAAGGAAAAGCATACGAGTACGTATGATTTCTGGTTTGAAATTAAGTGCCATCTTTTATTCACTAGTCATCGTGTTCTTCTATTCTCCATTGCCTGTGAAGAGGAAATTCTCCATTGTTTCACTGGATACATACACCGTGGAAAAGGATAAAAAGACATGTGCTCGTATTTACCAAAGTAATCGTTTTGTGCCTTGCAGGCTGCTGAGGCAAAACTCTTCCAGCCTCCTGATGGAAGACATCTACAAGAACCCTGGACCGCTGCAATTCGAAGGACCGGGGGCCGACGCAAAGCCCATCTCGCTGTGCGTGGAAGACCGGGACTACATGGGGAGGATCAAACAGCTGCAGGAGTATCTGGAGAAGGTACATCGGCCAACAACTTGGTTATCCGACTGGTAACAGTCCTTTTATTGGTTCTCATGATTATGCATGCCACGCAGGTGAAGAACATCGTGAAGCCTGGGTGCTCGCAGGATGTGCTGAAAGCTGCACTGAGCTCCATGGCACATGTGACGGAGCTGCTGACCATCATGTCTTCTCCGTCTTACAGTGGCCAAGCGACCATCTGAGAGCAAACTCGGAGCGTTCCATATGCCGGAATCCCACAGGCATAATTTTCCTTTTGTCGGCCGTAGAAACCGGGATCTTGATAGGCTCTGTTCTTTATCTGAGTTTTAGACTGCAGAGTGTGGCAAGTTTGGAGATTGGGATTTGGGAAGAGTTAGAACAGGAATAATTGCCCACTTTTATGGCAGAAATCAACGTCAATATAATCAGTGTGAGTTAGAAGCTCCGGATAATAACAAAAAATACTGTGTAAATGGTAACCCTATTTTTTCTTCTCTTATATAAATGCAATCCTTACCCGCTAGAGAAGCGGCTTGAGTCACACTAAAGTGGCACCATAGCATTTTTTTGTCGAGACAACATGGCACCATAGCATTATTTTTTATTTTTTCGAGGGATACGTGGCACCATAGCAAAGCCGAAAAAGCTGGAGTGAGGATTTTGGGCTCCCGGGCTCTATGGAGCCTGCATTTTTCAAAAAAGTTTTTTTAATCAACCTTTCAAGTTTCAGATTAGTTTTTTTTAACACAGTACAGCCGCAAGCGCTCCCTCCGTTCCTAAGTATAAGGCTTTCTAGAATCTCTAGAAAGACTTATATTTAGGAACGGAGGGAGTACATATGTAAAATTTAACAAAGAAATACGTTTTGATGTGAGTTACACAAAAAGAACATACTTTTATAGTGAAGAGTATATGTGCACTACATGAATTTTATTTGTAGTTCACATACAAATGCATTTCATCATCAAACTTTACAAACAAGTACTCCCTCCATAAAAAAATAAGACCGTTTAGATCTAAACGGTCTTATATTTCTTTATGCACATACGCATTCTTTTGTTTAATTATTTTCAGATTTTTAAACTTAAAATCATTTTTTAAAGAGAGCCAAAAGTAATTTCTGAGCACCTACAAATTTCAAAGAGTAGATTATACCGAGGGTCCATAAAATTGGCTGGTGGTAGGTTGATTTAGCGGCCAGGAAATGTCCATGGGTAATGAGTTGGATCACATGGTCTAGACCGGTGAGGATGCGAAAGGCTTCCTAAAGTATATTTTTTTTCATAGTGTGTCTAGGGCACATCTAGATGTGCTCTAGTTATTGCACATCTGAGTGAGTGAATTAAACATAAAGAAAAATTGAAAAAAGAAAAGGAAAATATCCACACGAATCTCGACGTAAGATCAATGACATAGAACTTAGATATGCGATACTTATGACACATCTAGATGTGCTTTATCAAAACTGTATTTCATAAATATAATCCTTGTACTGTGTCCTCTATCTCTCTCGGTTTCTCTTCCTCTCATGACAAATTCTTCTTCTTCCTTTCTGCAAGGAGACAAATATAGTTCTGTTTTTGGAACTTATGTGCTCGTTTTTTGTCAATAAATCTGACGTCAGTTTTTTAACCATGGCAAACATTTTTATGATAAACTAGATAATTGCCCCTGCGTTGCAACAGGAGTATAAACATTCTAATGGATTAGCCCGTTACTGCACGTCTATTATTATATTAATGCGCTAAAATCTTGGCAATTTTTTGTAAGCAATCGCCATGATTTACCTATCATGTTATTGTTAAGCACTTATTCGGTAGAATTTAATCACTTACCAAAGAAATATGTTTTTGCTTTGGTAAGTTAATAAAACATGATACAATTGATTCCATTTTAAGGAAAATCGATGGAAAAAAACTGAAATGGGA